CATGAAAAATAAATATAAATCGAAATACACCAGGGGGTACCGTTAACTCCGGGCGGGTAGAGTCTATTCTTCTTTTAGAAAGATGTATATACATATGTATATATATATATACACATATGTGTACGTATTGCGAACGATGTGGTGACATGTAGGCTGTGCAATCCACGCGGATCTATCAATCAGGTGCAACCATTGTTGGTGACTCTATGTTGTATCGTATACGTGGTGCAAAAAATGCTGTACCACCTACAGTCTGCTAGATACACTGCGCCTCTACGCGGTGATGTTTTGCAACGTATGCAGTGCAGCCCACGTAGTGCAGTGTCAATGTGGTGCAACTATTTGTGTTTTCGCCGTTCGTTGTCAGACCCAGTGGTCGCGCAATCGCCCCACTCACCCACTCGCAACGTGGTTTGCCAAACCCATGCGGCGGCGATTGCGATGCTTGCTTAGCGCTGGCTGGCACATCGCTGCGGCCACGCTAAAGCGTGCAGGTTCGCGCGCAGAGCAGCCAGCTAATGTGGAGAGACCGACGCGAGGAACCCCTAGCGCGTCCCGCAGGCCGCGATGACGCGCGGGCACTTCAGTGCGAGTCGGTGGCGCGAGCGGGAGCAGTATCATGGCGACGCCATGACCGGCAGACACGATGATGATAGTAGCGAGCGGTGCTGGTGGCGAGGATGATGGTGGCGACGGCAAAGCCACTGATGGCGCCGATGCTGACCACGCCGGTGACGATGATGGTGTCCACGTGTCGGTGATGAAGGTTTTGGAAGGATGTCGACATGCGCACGCGACCGACGGGCGCGGGTGGCCCGCAAGGTGTCATTTGACAGTCGTGACCCCCCCGCCCCAGCAATCGCGACAAGGAGCTCGAATGATTTCGATATGCACGCGCGAGAGGACCATTTGGTCGCCATGGCTTTCGTGGGAGTTCGCGAGGGCGCAGGCTTCTTCGAAACATCAAGTTGCACAACCATGTGGTTAATGCTGTCAAGCGTGGTCGGGCAACTCGATTACGGGAAACCCGCCCGAAAACGATAACTTATTAAACCAAGTTGGCATGCGCGCGCACCACGCTCGCGTGTGGATTTGGTCCCACGTTGTGCAATAGATCCTTGGAAACTGCGGACTGTTGATGAACAAATACGCGCGCAATGCGATTTGACTGGGAATAAGGGGGGACGGCGATACCGGGCTTGGCTGGAAAGGCGCGAGCTCATATTTGAAATAAATGATTGGGGCAGAATCCGATGTCAATTGTACTACCCCAAGGAGGAACACGAAGACTAGGGGGAGGGATAAACCCAAATTTCCTGTTAGAAAAGATGTGAAATCGATGTGTTGCAATCTACGTGGTGCAATTCACTGTGACGGTCTTGAAGCTGTCCTCTCCGCTAGTCGTGCAAACACCCCACCCTCCCACCCGCAGCTCGGCCGCAAGACCCATTAAGACCGTGACGTCAGGTACCAAGTTGCACTTGGCAACGACACCAACGCCGACGACGACAGCGACAACGACGACGACGACGCCGACGGCGACTACGACGACGCCGACGACGTTTCCGACGACTTTTACGACGACGACGACCACGACGACGACGACGACGACGACGACACCGACGACGACGAAGACGACGCCGACGTCGACGACGCCGACGACGATGACGACGCCGACGACGACGACGACGCCGACGACGGACGACGACGACGACGACGACGACGACACCGACGCCGACGACGACGACGACGGCGACAACGACGCCGACGACGAACACGAAGACGACGACGACGACGTCGTCAACGAAGACGACGACGAGAGAGGAGGGAGGACGACGACGGCGACAACGACGACAACGACGAGGGAGGAAGGAGGAGGGCGACGACGCGAACGACGAAAAAGGAGTGAGGACGGCGACGCCGACGACGACGACGACGACGACGACGGAGGAGGAAAGACGACCACGGCGACAATGACGACGGAAAGGACGAAGGCGCCAAAGAGGACGACGACGACGACGACGAGGAAAACAGAGGACGACGAAGGCGACGACGACGACGACGACGAGGGAGGAGGGAGGACGGCGACGACGATGACGACGACGCAAGAGCGGTGTTGCGAAACCAAATGTTTTTGTATGTTTTTTGGGACACTCGATGTTGACTTCCTTCTGGAACCAAAAACGTTCGAAAAGGTTTTCGGCATGCGCGCGGGACGACGCGCGCGCGCACGTCGTCTCATTTTGTTGCAGGGGATTCTCGCGACGGCACGCGCGCAGGGGCGTTCGAATGAATTCGACACGCGCGCGCACGCAAAACCCGTGTGGTAGTATGTTTCGAAAATCTTGAAAACAAAACGTATGGTCCCCCGGAGATTTCGCAAGAGCGCGCGTGTAAGGTTTTTTAGAACATCCGTGTTGCTACACCATGTGATTTTTGTTTGACATGTTTTTTTGGGGGGGGAGCTCGATTTTGAAATCTTTCCGGAACCGAGAGTTTTTTGAAAGATTCCGGCGTGCGCGCGCGACGACGCGCACGCGAGCTTCGTCCCATCTATTGCAAGGGATTCTTGGACCCCTATGATGTTTGATGAATGGGTGCGCGCGCACAACACTTTCTGCAGAAGATGGCGGGGGGGCCGATAACGGCCCCCCTGGGATAGTGCAAATTCGTATTTAGGATCGGCGATGGGGCAAAACCCTATGTGTTTTGCATCGGTTCCCGGGGGATGTTGAAACCAAGGGGGGGAGGGTGGTAGAACCTACTTTCTCATTAGCAAAGGAAAATCTACGTGGTGCAACATATGTCAACTTATGTCGTGGTGCAATCTATGCGGTGCACTCTACGTTGTGGAACATATGTGGTGTAACCCATGTTGCGTGGTGCATTGTGCATTGTGCTATGTATGTGGTGCAATATGCGTGGTGCAATCTATGTGGTGCAGTTTGTTTTTACCATGAATTGACGCATCCCGTGCCCTTGCAAACATCCCCCACACCCACCCGCAACTTGGCTCGCAAAACCCATGCCGTCGCGATTGCGATGCATGCTAGGCGTTGGCTGGTGCATCTCTGCGGCCGCGCCAACCCTAACACGCGCGCGCAGCGGCCAGCTAGTTTGGCGCCACCGATGCGGCCGCGGTGGCGCTGAGCACATCCCAGCGGGCACTCCAGTGCGAATCGGCGACTTGGGCAGGCGCGGTATCATGGCAACGCCGACCACGGTAGCCGCGATGATGATCGTGGCGATGTTGGTGACGATGTTCGCACCGACGAAGGCATGACCAGTGCAGGCGCCGATGCTGATCACGCCGACGACGATGACGGCGTCTTCGCGTCGGTGATGGAGGTTCGGAAAGAGTTCGACACGCGCGCGCGGCCGACGCGCGAGAGTGGCCCGCATGGTCTGATTTGACACGGACCGTGCCCCCCCAGCACGCGCGCAAGGGCGTGCGAATGACGTCGCATGCGGCGCCAGAGGCCCGTTTGGCAGAACTCCATAAAGATCCTCGAAAATTGCCCCATGGATTCCTTAAGAACTCGCAAGATAGCGCTCGCAAGTTTTGTTTGAACACTGCTGCTGCGAAATATTGTGTTTTGTGCGTGCGCTTTGGCCATGCGTTTTTTGAAATCGCTACGACACCGGAAGTTCTGAAGGATTCCGGCATGCACGCGCGACGACGCGAGCGTGCGCACTTGACCCCGTTTTTCCGCAACGGACCCTCACGACGGCACGCGGGCAAGGGGCATGATTTCGACATGCGCGCGCGAAGCCCGTTTGGCAGCACGTTCTGAACACGTTGAACAAAGCACTTGTTTTCACACAAGAAAAATGCAAGAAGGCGCGCGCACTCCTTTTGCTCCATAACCCGTGTTGCGAAACCGTGTTGCTGGACGTTTTTGTAACACTCGATTTCGAAATCCTTCCGGCACCAAAACAGTGTTTGAAGGATTTTAGCATGCGCGCGCGACGACGCGCACGTGCGCACATCGTCACATTTGTTGCAGGGGACTATTGAAACCACTTGTTGTTGCTGAACGAATGTGCGCGCTGACAATTTGTTGCAGAGGATGGCGGGGAAGGAGTCGATACCGGCTCGGTTGGGATGATACGAGGTCATATTCAGGATGGGCGATGGAACCAGAATCGTAGATAAATTGCAATGCGAAAAGGTTGACCGATAAACCCAGGGGAGGAAATCCTAATTTTTTTACAGGAAATAATTATATTGCTGCTATCTCTGTATGTCAATCTACGCGGTGCAACCCATGTTGTGCGATCTATGCGGCGACGGGCGGCAACCAGGCAGGGACGGGACGACGACGGCGGCAACATGGACGTCAGCCCGACCGTCAACCCGAGAAAACGGGCAGCGACGGCACGGCGCCGGCGCGGCAGCGGCGACTACGAGCCGCCAGGCCGACGCACAGACCTAGAACACGGCCGGCGTCGAATCAGCGACGGGCCGTCGTCGGCGTCTACATCGCCTCCAGACCGACGCACAAGCCCAGTTCCTCCGCAAGCGCATGAGAAAAACTGAGTGCAACAACCTCTTGGGATATATCTTTATATTACACATATATGTGTGAATATATATATATATATATATATATGTGTGTATAGATATAGATTTGTGTAGGTTTTGCTATGTATCTACATCTATATATATATGTTATGTGTATATATATATGTATACAAATACAGACGTGCAAATGTACATGTCAAGATCAATGTACCTGTGTGGGCCCCACAAATACGGAGCTCTTGCACTGTAGGGGTGAAGGCGCCTACGCTGTTGTGTGAGCTGCGCTTCCGCCCCAAACCACTGCCTGATTGTCACGGGGCCCGAGAGCGGGCCCCAGAGGCCGACATCCGTGAACAGCGCCCGAGAAAGTTGCAACAAAAACACGTCGGCGAAAGTCTGGGCAAATGAATCTCACGCTGAGTGCTGATCGCCCCGCGTCCCCGACCGATCCGCCAGGCTGCCGCCCAGCGCGCACCCGCGAGGGGCGACTGGGCGTCCCCGTCGGCGGAATCCTCGGTGCCGTCGCCAGCCTGTCGGGGAGGCGGCGGGGGGGAGGCGTATTGTGTGCGCTTCACTTCAGACTCAAGCGAGTTCAGTTGCATGGAATCCTCCTCCCCCCCCGCCCGCCGCCTTTACAAACAGCGCTCGGGCGGAAAAGGCGTGCAAGCGAGACCCCGCTGCGAGGAGTCCAGATTTCATCCAGGGCGTCGCCCCCCCCCCCCACCCCTCCCCTTTCACGCAAGCGCATTTGCCAGAGGCGAAAGAACAGCTGCTTACTTCTTTCTCGGGAGCGCGGCTTATTCGAGAAGGAGGAATTCAGCTGAGGAGTAAGATGACTTTTTAAACAAAACAGGGGGCACGCCCCCACCGCCTCTCGCTGCGAAAGAATCGGTACGGGAAGATTTCAGCAATTTGTCATTTTCGGGGGGCCCTCACCAAACCCAGGAATTGTCAAACAATTAAGCATGGGTGAAAAACTGGTCCCAGGCCAGGGGATTAGGTACAGGTCCATACCTCTGGGGTTCCACGTTCAGTGAAACATTACCCTGCGACGTACCCGACCCACCTGCATGAAGTGACAACAGGACTTGGCCCAAATTTGCCAAGACAATGACAGTGCAGGCGCCGATATATGTTGTTCAAGCTGCATTGGGCGCGCTCATGCGGCACGGTTCACAAGACAACAACAAAAGGACACGAGGGTCCAGGCTTGAGGAGGACATGGGGGCGGGAACGAAGAGCCGGAGAAAGACGCGCGGCAGCAGCAGAGGGAAGGTAGCAGGGGGCAGAGGGCGACGACGAAAGTGACAGGAGGAGGTCGAAGATTGTTTTTTGCAGGTAGTGCGCTGAAGATGCAGCGCTGCCAGCGCCATGCCGCCGCTGCGTTCGACAAAATACGTAGCAACCTGCAGATCCGGATCAGAGTGAGGGTGTGAGACTCTGGAGAAGCCCGCCGCAGGCGCCAAAGTTTCACAACTTATGCAACGAGCCCGCCACAGTCGCCGATTTTTCCTTTAATCCAATGTGGGTAGGTCGCGGGTGCGTCGCGGGTGAGTCGCAAATGGGTCGCGGGTGGGTCGCGGGTGGGTCGCTGTTGGGTGGCGGGTGGGTCGCGGGTGGGTCGCGGGGTGGGTCGCGGGTGGGTCACAAGTGGGTCGCGGGTGGGTCGCGGGTGGGACGACGACAAGAAACAAACAAACAACCAACAACGCAACAATCAGAATCCTCACCACGGATCCCCACTTCAGCAACGCACCCAGGGACAATGAATGACCGTTCGGCCCCCTCACTCTGACTTAAACCTACTTATCGTTAGTGCAAGAAGAGAGCGAGGCCTAGCTCGCCCGCCAGGTTCCCTACTTCCTTTAATTTTCAGCGCGGGAGCTAAACACTTGAAAGCGTGCATCCAGGTCTGCGGCGGCCCGCGACAGCGCCCCGCGGAACCCCCCAGCAGCCCTCGAAAGTGGCGACAGTTTCGCAGGTCGCAGCCCCCCAGGGATGGCGAGGTCTAATCTTAACCTGGATGGTGCCTCACTTTGCTGAACCCTCCAGCAGCCTTCGAAAGTGGCGACGGTTTCGCAGATCGCAGCCCCCCAGGGATAGCGAGGTCTAGTCTGAGTCTGGGTAAGACGTCACTCCGCAAGACCCCCAGCAGCCCTCGAAAGTGGCGACAGTTTCGCAGATCACAGCTCCCCAGGCATGGCGAGGTCTTATTTGAGTAAGGGTAAGACGTCACTCCGCTGGACCCCCCAGCAGCCCTCGAAAGTGGCGACAGTTTTGCAGATCGCAGCCCCCCCAGGGATGGCGAGGTCGAATTTGAATATGTGCAAGGCGTCACCCCGCTTGACCCCCCCCAACAACCCTTGAAAATGACGAGAGGCGAGCCGAAGTGGACCCGCGTACGCATGCGGACCCTGCCGCTGGAGCCTTCGGTGGAGCCCCGCCCCCTATGGTGCCACGAAACGTGTGAGAGGTGTTCCCGAATGGACCCGAATATGCATTCGGACCCTGCCACTGAGCCTTCGGTGGAGCCCCCGATGGGGCCACGAAACGTGAGGTGTTCGCCGAAATGGACCCGAGTGTGCATGCGGACCCTGCCACTGGAGCCTTCGGTGGAGCCCCCTATGGGGCCACGAAACGTTTGAGGGATGTGCCCAATTGGACCCGATTACGCATTCGGACCCTGCCACTGGAGCCTTCGGTGAAGCTCTCTATGGGGCCACGGAACGTGTGAGGGTGTGCCCAATTGGAGCCGAGTACGAATGCGGACCCTGCCAATGGAGCCTTCGGTGGAGCTCGCTATGGGGCCACGAAGCCTTCGGTGGAGCTCCCTATGGGGCCATGAAACGTGTGAGGGGTGTGTCCAATTGGACCCGAGTGTGCATGCGGACCCTGCCACTGGAGCCTTCGATGGAGCCCCCTATGGGGCCACGAAACGTGTGAGGGGTGTGCTGAATGGACCCGAGTACGCATGCGTGCCCTGCCACTGGAGCCTTCGGTGGAGCTCCCTATGGGGCCAAGAAACGTGTGAGGAGCGCGCCGGAATTATGATGATACTGACAATGGCGGTGATGATGGTGGTGGCTGTGATAGGAAGTGGTAAAGGGAGGATGAGGAGGCAGCGAAGGGAAGAGTGAGAAGGATCATGAGAGGAGGGAGGGGGGAGGAGAAAGGAAGAGGAGACGCGCGGCGCTGCGAATTCAAAACGAGGACCCAACACACAGGAGGGTTGGGAACAACTGCGTGGGGGTTCCGGGTGGAGGCATGCCGAAGACGCGAAGTGATATTCAAAGTACCCAGATATCCGTCGTCGTAATTTTGTCACCATGCCAACTTCTCTTCGCCATCGCCGTCGCCAGTGACACGGGAGCTGTCTGAACTATCAAGGTGCGCCTTCAAACCTCGTGGCAAGCATCTGGGCGCCTGTAGCTTAAACCGATGGTCTGACAGAGTTTGGGTTCGTCATGGATCAACCATAGAATCGTTGTTGTTACGGTCCATGGGTGCGGTGAGGGCCCCAGGAGGCTGAAAATTGATAAACACTGAGCGTCGTGACTTCTTCACCACGAGAGGTTGGGGGAGTTCTGGGTGGAGACATGCCGAGGGCACGAAGGGTGATTCGCGGCAGGGCCTCGAATGCGGAACCCCGCGCCGCCCCGCACACCAGCTGGGACATGCGATCAGAGGCTCGAATGCGGCACCGGTCGACGGAAAACCAAGGCCTGCCCGTGACCACTCATTAACCGTGCGCGCGAGCATAGGGGGAGCGAGGGGGAGTGGGATTCGCCCTCCCCCTCACCCTCCTCTTCACTCTGTCTTGCTCCCTCCCCGTCCCCATTGTCCAACTCCCCCGATCCTGGCTGGTCATCCCTCCTCCCTCCCCCCGCGGAGGAGTTGGAGGAAGAGGACAAGGAGGAGGGAAGGAGGGGAGGGCGGGCGAGGAGGAGTAGGAGGGGGGGGGAGTAGGATGAGGGCAAGCAGGAGAAGGTGGAGCGTGGCCCACGCGGCGAATCCAATGCTCTTGACACGGCAAGTCCGCAACCCGTGTACGGATGGTTAGAGTGGGGGGAAGCCTCTTGGATACACGGGAAACAGGGCGGGGAGGAAACGCCCCAGCGCGAACACGGCAAGGGTCAACCATACGAAGGCCGCACCTGATCACGAGCATCTTCAGGCCCACCATGACGGAGCCCGCATGCAGTAAGTCGGGCGTGTCCCCCTAGAGGGGGATTTTGGGCGAAAAATAAAACATACCCAACAAATACCCTCCAACAAGGCAAACAAAGTAATTTAAAAAATGGTCCCGAGACTATGTTTTGACTATTTCTGAACATTCCCCCTGTAGAGGGACACGCCCGATTTAACACGAGCATCTTCAAGCCCACCATGACGGAGCCCGCGTGCATCGGCGAGCGCATCTGCTCGTCGCGGTGCGTCTGGCCCCACCGCACTCGCGACGGGCCTCGTCGGGCGGGCCGGCAACCGCTGCCAGCGGACCCGCCGGCCCGCTCGGAGGCCCGCCCGCGAGCCTGGCCTCGGGAGCTCCTGGAGGGGGCGGAGGCGCCCGGCAGACCGCACGGGCTCCCGACCCTCCGCGTCGCGCTCGCTGGCACAGCTGCGGGGCCGGTTTGCGGAGAGCTCCAGTGCTGGGCCTGTTTTCCACCACCACCACCACAAGCTGGATGGGGGGGAGGAGGAGGAGGAGGAGGAGGAGGAGGAGGAGGAGGAGGAGGAGGAGGAGGAGGAGGAGGAGGAGGAGGAGGAAGAGGAGGAGCACCACCTCCCCCTTCAACTGATGGTGGTGGTGGTGGTGGAGAACAGGCCCATCATCCGGGATGCCCCGGGGTCGTTGGGAGTGCCTCGCGGCGCAGCGCTGCGCCGAATCGGCTGCCCATGGCACTGCCGCCCTGAAGGACATCGCACTGCCATCCTGAAAGCGGAGCGGCGGAGTTCAACCGCGCGGAGTTTGGAGCCATGGTGCAGCGCTGGTTCAGAGACGTGCCAAGCGCCGAGTCGATAGCAGTACAACTGGACTCGCTCCGTGGGTGGGGTCGGAGCCCCTATGCAGAAGCAGGGGAGTCTGTTCGTGTTCCGACACAACAGAGTAAAGCGTATGTCGACATCGAAGTTGGCAAACAAGGAGTCCCTAACTTCAAGACGCTGTAAGGCCTTCCCAGCCCCATCGCAAGCTACATACACCAGCCCGTTCGATTTGTCAAATGGAAAGTCTTACCGAAACTAGAAGACGAAGCGATTGTTGATGGCACTGTTCACATTTCACGTGTTCGTGAAGAGATGAAGGATCTAGTGCTGCAAACCGTCCAGGGAGCGGAGCTCCCACTGGCGATCACGCGACTGGAATGCCGCTGTGATGACCTCCAGTCGCAGGTGTCTGGTGTGGTTGATGTTGCCACTACTGATCGCCTCGCCACTGAGCTACGCGAGTCTGTCTCATCGCCAGCGACAGTTGACAGGTTTTGTTACGTCGTCGCACAAAGAACTTCTACCAAGCATTATCCAACGTGTTGCGGAAGAAACGGTGCGGGCCAGCAGACTGGTGTCTGCGGGTGCCATGTCTGCCAGGAGGCATACGGACCCGCTGCATGCAGGATCATCCCCGTCGTCTCCTAAGACAAGGACGAGGAGGAGAGCCTATGTAAACCCAAGGCGCATCAACGATGTCACAATCAACCACCCCTACAAGTTCCCTCTTCATAGGCCCAAACATGCATTTATGTTCATTGCGGCCGGGCCACATTGGAAGACGAGCACCCGCGAATCCCCAATCGTGACAAGACACCCGCAGTGGGACTTCAACGCGGCGAATCAGCAGCAACATTGTGCGTCCTGACAACCCTAGATCGATCCAGGACCCATTCCTGGGACCTCTACACCGCAAATCAACTACACTGTTGCGTTCTGGAAACTCCAGACCAAGCAAGAACAACACACGTCCACCATACGAACCCCTGACACTGCTACGCACTTATAAAACAATTCGCGTGGGGCTACCGCGAAGGCCACCCTCCGAAAAAAAAACGCTCTGCATCCTAAGAACTGCTGCAACTGTTTGAAGAGGCTGGGCGAGGCGCTGAGGGTAAAGCGACAGCTTGAAAACCACTCCGCCCTCCATCCCTCAAGCTGCTGCAAACATTTATAGCCAATCTGCCCAGACCTAGAGCGAGAATTCGACTGGTCGACTGGTCGACCATGGCAAACACGACGGCCCTGGAATCTCCAAAAAATCGTGCCGCGAGAATTCCCCCGAATCTCCAATCCCAAGAACCGCCCAGCGAATCTCTGTAAAATCTTCGCACCTTCGAATATTTCGGCGAATCTCCAAAAGATCTTCGCACCTAACAAATCTTCTGACGAATTCCGAAAAAAACTCTTCGCGCCTGAAGAATCTCCAACGAAATCTCCCCTGGAAATTTGCCGGATTTTCCGGAGATCTCTGCACACTGGAGACTCTCCAGAGATTTCGCCAGAGACTTGTAAGGCTCGGAGACGTTCCGGAGTTTTCCTCCGAATGTTCAAAACGGGGACGCGTTCGGGACATTCTGGGAATGCTCAAATACAATTTGGAGAGTAGCTGAAATATGTTGTGGAGATTCTTCATCAAGAGGGTCCTGGTCGCGTGTTCGTCTTTGACCCAATGTAAAGCGAGAGCCACGATTCAAAACCGACCTGCCCTACACTCGTGAAACCGCTGCAAATTCCAAGCTTCCGATCACCAAATGTGAGAACTCAAGCGCAACGCCAGGCCTGCCCTACACGTCCCAGGGTGAGAGAGGGTGGAGATAACTAGAAGGAAAAGTGAGGGGGAGGAGGGGGAGGAGGGCAAAAAAGGATGATGGGTGGCTTAGGACATGCTGGTGCGGATCTCCTCCCGCTGCGCGGCAGGGGGAAAAGGATGTGGATGATCGCCCATTCTGGTTGGTGAGAAGAAGGCTCGAGAAGGAGCAAGAGGAGGAGGAGGAGGAGGAAGAGGAGGAGGAGGAGGAGGACCAATGTAATCCCAAGACGCATCAACGATGTTGCAATAAACCTTCCCAACTTCCCTTTCCATCGGTCCCTATAAGAACTTATGTTCATTGCGGGAAGTTCCAGACTGAAAGACAAGAGCCATAGAACCCTCAATCGCGCCAAGATGCAATTCCTGGGACTGAAGCGCCGCGAACCAATGTGGCTGTTGCGTCCTGGCGGTCCTAGATGGTGCCAGAACGATTCCTGGGATTACAACGCCGCGAATCAAAGATGCTGCTCCGTCCTGGCAGCACTTCTGACGTCAATAATGTGAACCCTTGAAACTGCTGCACTATTTGAAAACGAATGTGCGCGGCGCTAATGTGAGAAGCACATGTTGGAAAGAGAACACCATCCACCTTTGAACCTGTTGTAACCTTTTAGCGCGAATGTCCGCGGCGCCAAAGAGAGAACTTCAGTTTGAAAACAGCCCGCCCTCCATATGTGAAGCTGCTGCACACTTCTCGAAATACTGATGTGTGCGGCGCTCAGGCGGGGACCACAATTCGAAAACCACCCGCAAGTAATTCGTGAAGCTGTTGCAAACTTGTCAGGCGAATGTGCGCGGCGCTCATGCAAGAACCACACTTTGAATGCGGCGTCACAGTGTTGTGAACTTCAAGCGTCAGGGCTATAAGTAGTGAGAAAGCGTGGCCACCCAACAGACACTTTTGAAAGGGCGGCCGGCAGGAATCAACTAGTGGGCAACGGGATGGAGGAGGAGGGGGAAGGGAAGGGAAAAGGGAGGAGGCGGATGATGAGGATGATGATGGGACGACGAGAGCGGCAGCGACGACGACGGCGGCGGCGACGACCACGACGATGACGACTACGACCCAACCGCGACGACGAGCACGACAGAGGCGGCGATCACGACGATGGCGGCGGCTGCTGCGGCAGCTGCGGAAGGCGGCGGAGCACGGGGCAGCAGCGGGGGGCAGGAGGCGGACCCCGGCCGCCTGGCGCTCGTACGCCTGCGGGGCAGCGGCTCCGTGGGGGGGGGGGGAGACGGAGGGGGGATTGGGGGGAAGGGGGGGGGGGTCTCCTCCTCCACACCCCACCACCAGATCTCCGACGGTCTTCTTTTTGAAGCTGGGCGCTCGTCCTCGAACTCGGCATCTCATGGCTCGCAGTGGGGCCCTGGGGCCATGAGGCAACGGATGCGGAACAGAGTGCCCGCGGGGAAGGGGTCAGGACCCCTGCGCATTGAAAAAAACACAGCGTCGAATGTGTGGGCCTCTCCCCCTTCCCTCACCCCCTTGCAACTTTGCACCATAATTCATGATGTGTAGCTGTCGAATCATGCGCATGGTGCGTAATACTCATAACTTACGTCTGGACGGAGGAGAGTAGCATTCATAAAACTACGAATGATACTCTCCTCTCTTCCCCGACTCTGTCTGGCAGAAGTCTGGCCCTCCCCGCGTACGGCTTTTTTGTTAAGAAAGATTTCAAACATTCAGGTTTCCTGAATTGTTCTACAATCCGATCGTTTTCGCAGCTTCAAATGGTGACCCGGTGAAGCATGGTCCTCATTTTCATATCGGCGCTTTGCTCCTGTCGTCCAGCAAAGCGCTCACGCACCAGCGCGGGCCACGTTTCCGGATACGACTCCTTTTTCGTCAGTGTCGCCCCGCTCATGTCCCCTCCTCCACCTTCGCCTGGGCCTCCTGCTCCTCCCGCTCCTTCCACTCCAGCTGCTGCTGCTGTGTTCGTCCTCATCCCCCTCCTTTCTTATCCTCCTCCTTTTCCTCCTGCTCATTCTCCTGTTCAACCGCCACATCCTCATCCATCTCCTCTTACGTATGCAACGCCGAGCTCCCGATTGTGCATAACACGATGGGGTCTTTCTGGGAGTTCCAGGTCCGCTATCACACGCGTCCGCGGACAGAGGAAAAGGCATCGCAAATGTAAGGGATGGGAGGGAGGCGTAGGACGTCAGGTATGACGCGAGCGCACCTTGCTTGCTCCCGCCCCGTCTCCTCTTCTTCCTGCCCCCCCCCATTGTCGTCTACCTCCCCCATCCCCCTGCCCCCTTCACTCTGTCCTTCTCCTCCTCCAGATCTTCCGGCCCCTTCCCCACATCTTTCTCGGCATCCTCTGATAATACTCCTCCTCCGCTTCCTCCACCTCATACTGACCCTGATTCACTCCTCCCACTCTCGCCCTTAACGCATCAGAGTCTCAACGCTGGGGGGCCCTTGTCAGACGAAGGATCCTTCATGTCCTCCCCCTCCACCTGCAAATCGCCAATATCGTCATAATCAGAATCACCGGCATCATCAGGCGATGCAGGCGAAGGGAAGGGAGCGCCAGCAACCGACAACTACACCCGTCCTCCCATCCACCCGTCCCTCTGAGAATGATTAGGGGAACAGACAGACAGCGGCAGTGGCAACATCTGGCGTAAAGGTAATCGGTCCCTGCACGTGGGAATGTGGATGCAGGGCCAAGGTCACCAGGCAGGAGGGCACGGAGTGGCAGAGGGAAGAGGACGAAGCACGAAGATGAGGAGAACAGGAGGACTTCTTGTTCTTTGTCAAAATCATGAGAAGCATGAAGCATTACTCGTTTCGCTGACGCCTCGCGTGCCGCCTACAGTTAGCGTCCTACCAGAAGAAACGCCATACAAGAACGAAGGGACTTTTATAGATAGGGCGACCTTCCTGAACCCAAGATAGTCCTTATTTCAGTGACTTGACTGTTGCTGCAGAAGCCAGCCCGTCCCATCGGAAAAGTGAAGGAACCTGCGGCTTCGGCAACAATTGTAGCCCCTTTGACCCCGAGGAAAGTTCCGTCCCACGTTCTCTGCACTGCCAACATTAGTATGGGACGGGGCCGTTTGCCAACTGTTCGCTATGCGTATATGCTGGACATTTGCGGGCTCGGCACGGACACCTAAGTGTTTTGACTGGCGGGTGCCGCCACCCTCCTCGTTCTCCCTCATCCTCATCCTCCTTGTCCTTCTCTTCCTCATTGTCCTCCTTGTCATCCTCCTCCTCCTCATCCTCCTCCTCCTCACTCATCTCCTGGCTCATCCCCTTCCCCCCGGGCTCCTCACATTCTCGAGTCGTCCTCAGAGCAGCCTAGCAGCAGATCGCGTGTGCAGGGAGCCTCGAAGAAGGCGTGGCCAGCGTTCTGGACCTGTGCGCTAGCAAAGGGGGCAACGAGAAGCGAGCGACCCTGTGCTCAGTGAAGCGTGTTATAAGCGAAAGCAAGCACGGTGGGAACCAGGAAAGGCAGGTCTGACAAGACGATGGTAACAGAATGCATGTCATACACACGGATGATCTGCGACTGCATGGCATCATGGGGGCGACGGCGCCACTACACAAAACAAACGAATGACGACGATCTCTGAGGAGTGGCACGACATGGCCTGGCCAGCTTCGCGCTGCGCTAGGCGGCTAGAGCGGGGCGGGGCGCGCGGTGAGGGCATCAAACAAGTGCCAACTACTCTGGCAGGAGTGTCAACATGTGCGGGGAGCACTCGGCCTGACGACCTGGGCCCTGGTTTCCGACGTCGCTTGATCTCGGACAGATGCATCCACCTCCGCTCTCGGACGTGCATAGAAGACTCCGACCCCCCCTTGCGTATAGACTTCGTGCCGCCTGGCCCCCCGTGACAGCATCAGTCAGCACCGATTCGGGAAACTGGATCAGATCGGAAACGTGCGTCGAATCGGGCCGTACCCGCACGGGGCCGACATGGGGCCGGATCGGCCGCGCCAGCATGCACAGCACACGCGAAGCGTCTGGAACAGATGGCCCGAGTGCTTGAATTGTTCACCCGTCACACGTATGGAAGGCGGCTCCATTTCAAGATGGGGGCTCTCGCTTGAGACCTCCTCGGTATGTCTTGAGTTGTATACAAAGGTTCTTGAACTCACGCAAGGCTGACACGGGTGGTATCACATACTTGTCAAACGGATTTCTCGACGTCCCGGGCCTGTTTCAAATGTCCTACCGTGGGAACAGGACAGATGGACGGTGGACCCTTGAAAAGTCTGGGTCTCGCCTGACTGGCAGGCACACGCGAGGCGTTCGTTTGCCGAGGATGGCGTATCACGCAGTGGGAAGAGCTCCCTGCAGGGACTTGTGCGGGTGCACCGTATTACAACAACGCTGATGCATCTTGGCTTTACTCCGATCCTTGTCCCTCCCGCTGCCTCTTTCTACTCTTCCTTCTCCCTTCTCTTCATCCTCTCATTCCTCCTCCCTCATCCCCATCCTTCTCCCTCCTCCCTCTCCTCCCCCCACTCCCTTCGCCTCCTCCTCCTCCTCCCTACTTGACTATCCTATCCCTCCTCCCTCCCCTTCCACCTCCTGCATATCCCTCCTTGCCCCCTCCTGCATGCTCTTCCTCTTCCTCCTCCTTATCCTCCTCCTCCTCCTCCTTCTTCTCCACCTCATCCCTCCTCCTCATCCGCGTACCTCCTCCTCCTCCTCCTCCTCCTCCTCATCCCCCCTCCTCCTTCTCCCTTCTCGTGTTCCTTATCCTCCTCCTCATAATCCGCCTCCGCCTCCTCCTCCTATATACTCCTCCTCCAACTCCTCCTTCTCCCCATCCTCCTCCCTCCGCCTCCCTCCTCCCCCGCCCCCTCCGCGGCTCCGTTCTCGAGGTCCTCTCCCCCCTTTTCCTCCGCGAGCTCTGCTTGGGCGGGCGTCCGTCCGGGTGACTATCGCCCAAGAAGACAAAAGAAAAAGGCACGGATAGAACAAGAGAGACGGAGCGAAAAGGCCATACGGAGGTGGGTGTGTGTGATCGCAGTGCAGGGAAAGCCCCACACCGGGAAATCGGTTTCGCTTTCGTGTCGAGCGTGCGGGCGAAGCGAAGCTGCGCAGGCTGGGAAGAGGGATAATCCCGCCCTGGCTAATGCGAAACCGAGCTCAATGTCTCTTGTCCCCCAGGTTGGCCAGAGGTGGCTCGAGGGTGTCCCGCCGGTGACCCGTGGTGCTCCGTGGTGCCCCGTGGTGTCCCGTGGCGCGGTGTCCCATGGTGTCCCGTGGATGTCGATAGTGAGATCGATAATGAGATCGGTAGTGAGATCGGTAGTGAGATCGATAGATAAATCGATGTTGAGGTCGATCGATGGTGAGATCGATAGTGAGGTAGACCGAGAGATCGATAGCTGGTGAGACCGATAGATAGAGGGAGATCGACAGTGAGATCGATCGGTAGGTGGAGTGGGATCGATCGTGTGGTCGAACACCCAGAACTGAGCTCAATGGTAATGTCGACTGCGAGACCGACAGATACTGAGATCGAAAGTGAGATGGAGAGTACGGTCGACAATCGACAGATCCAGGGAGATCGATAGTGGGATCGGTAGCGGTTCTCCGCGGTGTCCCTTGGTGTGCGGCCTTGTATGTTCTTAACATATTTGAAGGGGCCCTGGGACACACAAATAAATACACACAAATACAAAAAAGTCCCCATATTTTCCAATGATTTCTTCTCCACTTCCCATATGTTCCCATATTCTCCGGGGAATCGACGATGAATTGTGTCTGTGTGTGTGTTGTTTTGCCTCCTAAATATTTTCCTCCTGAAGGGAAGAGCGCTGGGCAAAGTAGCGCCACCTGGGCAGCAAGCCAGGAGTCACTATCACAGCCACTGCAGTTGTCATCTGTTGCCCCCTTCCCCCCTCCCCACTACCCTCTTATCACGCGAAGGTCGGCCGAATTGGTGTGTGTGTACACACACCTATATACATATATATATATATACACACATATGCCCGGAAAACTCTCTGAGAGCTAAGAGGGCTTCATATTAGAAGCCGGCAGCGATGGGTGGCCCGGCAACTCTTTCCAGCACTGGCCAAGCCGCCTCGCAGAGGCCTGCTTGAACTTCCAGCGTGTTCCGGCGATCGTTGTCCCACTCGTTCCCAAAACGCGTGCCAGAACCCTTTCCGCAGCCCCTTCGAAGCTCATTGGGAGCTCCTTCGAAGCTCCATTTCTCGTACCTGGACATCCTTTCAAACGTCCCCCAGAAGCGTGTCGCACGCTTTGGACTGCGTCGCTATCTGGTTCTAAGATGCTACAAGTCTAAAGACAGAGAGAGGGAGAGAGAGAGAGAGAGAAAGAAAGAAAGAGAGAGAGAGAGAGAGAGCGAGAAATAACGAAAGAGCAAGGGAGGCAGAAAGAGCAAAACAAAAATCGCTAGACAGGCAGCTATATATAGAGAGAGAGACAGGCAGAGAAATCTATATATATATAACTATACCTACATATGCATATATATATATGGTACAGCGAGATAGCGAAACTAGTTCTAATGAGAAAGGGACATAGAGAGAGAGAGAGAGAGATAACTCAACAAACACAGAGAGAGGAGAGAGAGAGAGAGGGAGAGGGAGGAGTGAAATGAAGTGAGAGAGAGAGGGGGAGAGAGAGAGAGAGATAGAGATTGAGATTGTGTGAGAGAAAGAGATAGGGGAGGGTGGGCGGCGCGGCCTCCTTCTTGGCAAACGGAGCGCAGCCGCACACTATCAGCGGGCCTCGGCTTTGCGGAGGGGGAGGGGGGCATGGCGGCGGGGGGAGGGGGCATGCTCAGACCTCCTCCGTCCTGGCCGAAGGAAGAGTGAACACGCCCGAGCGAATGCCAAGGCTCATGCTCCGACGATCACCGCCACCTCGCCCCTCCCCCCAAGCAAGCAGACCTGCCAAGAAGCCCACCATGGAAAAACCAAACAGTACCGATATCTCTACTCCCCAGACCTCTCCCGGGGTGCGTTCTGACCAGAATTTCGAGGCGAAACCAGCGGTGGCGAAGAGGGCCTCCAAGGAGGCCCCAAAAGGCGAAACGGGCGAAGGGTAGCGGTACGGGTACCTTCTCCTCTCTGGCACCGCAAAAAGACACCACCCCTGCCCGAGGGGCCCCGCCCGAGGGAGCTCTCTTCTGCGCGCCGAGGTGGGAGGCACGGAGGCACATGGCCGGGCCCCCCGCAGGTCCAACAACGGAAAAGGGGCCCAGGGACGCTCAGATGAGCAGACATGTGGTGGGCTAATTTTCCACCACCACAACGATGGGCAAGCCAGGGGAGAAGGGAGGATGACGAGGTCCTCTTCCTCCTCCTCTTCCTCCTCCTCCTCCTCCTCCTCCTCTTCCTCCTCCTCCCTCTCCTACCTACGGCAGTGTCGGTCGAAAATCGGCCCATCATCAGGATTCCCCACATGGGCGTTCCGATGGGCGGCGAGGTCGTGGAGGGTCGCGCTCGCGACAGCTGGGAGGCCAGGAGGGGTGGGCACCGAGGCCATCTCTGCGGGCCCCCAGAATGCACACCACCACCACGTCGATCCCTCCTCCCCTCTCTGCCCTCAAATTCCTTTCCTCTCTCCTGGGAGAGGGAGGGGTTGAGGGACGTGGTGGTGATGGTGCATGTGCTTGGTCTGGGCCTCCTGGGCTTCCGCGGGGTTGGCCTCCCGGGCCTGCCCACCCCCGGCGGGCAGGGGCCCCCGTGCGCAGGCGCGTCGGGGCGCGCCGCGGCGGGGCGCTGGCGCCCCACGGCCGAGGGAAGCAGAGCCGCAGAAATCTGAGGATAGGGAGCCACAGGCGAAGCCTACCCCTACCCCCCACGATTTCCGAGGGGGAGGGTGGGGTTCACTTCGCTCGGGAGCTCCCGAGCGAAGCGAACCGCTCTCCCCCTCAGAAATCGTGGGGGTAGGGGTAGGGTTCGCGCATGTGGCCCCCTAGAGGAGCCCCGAGGCCTTCCCTACTTTCGGGAGGTTCGTCAACCCCGTCCGCGTGCCATGTTTTCCCAAATGTTCCTGGAGGTCGACGTTCGAGCCCGTCTGTGGGTGTCTGTGTAAGTATGTGTATATTAAAACTATGTGTGTGGCTGTCTGTCTGTCTGTCGGTCTGTTTGTCTGTCTGTCTGCCTGCCTGCCTGCCTGTAAGTGTAAACGCAAGCAAGTATAAGTAGAAGTGTAAGTGCAAGCGAAAGCGTAATTGAAATTGTAAATGAAAATTTAAGTGTTAACATAAGAATAAGTGATCATGACAATGTCAATGTACGTGTACGTGCACGTAAACGTGTACTTTTGAGTGTGCGTGCACGCTTAAGTGTGAATGTAAGTGTACATGTAAGTGTAAGTGAAAGTGCACGTGAAAGCGTAAGTGTAAGTATGAGTGTAAGTGTAAAAGTGCGTGGTGTTGCCCTCGTGATACACCAAAGCCGAGAGCGACGACATCGAACCGAGATACATCGGGGATCGCCAGGATCCGGTGGCTCCGCAAGGTCCCCAGAAGGCCCCCAGAAGCCCGAAGCGAGCCCCACAAGGCGCCCTAGAGGCCCCCAAGATGCTCCAAGGAGGCCCCCAGACTGCCCTCCAGAGGCCTACGAGCGCGCTCCGAAGAGGCCGCGCGAAGCCTCCCTGGGGGCCCTGCCCCACGTCAGCGTCGTCGTCGCAGCCGACGCCGCCGTCGTTGTCGTCGTCCCCCTTCAGGGTCGGCGCGGCGCCGGCCGCGAGTCCTTCCCTATCCTTGTCGGGGATCTCTGGGATCCCGCGGCTCTGGAGGCTGTATCGGGCGCCGCGGCCGTTCCATAGCGTATCAGGACGCTCTGACTGTGTTCTGGAACGCTCTGGAGCGACCTATCTCGATCGTAGGCCTGACTGACAGTCCCATCCAGGTACAAAACATACCCGATGACTAGCAGAAGAAGAAGAAGAATAATAAGAAAAAGAAGAAGAAGAAAAGCAACACAACAAAACTAACAAAACAATACAACACAGACGTGATTTTCGGATGTCAGCGTGGACTTCATGTATCGGCGCTGGACCCCCGTCCGTGGCGCGCGGAGCACGCCAGGGGCGGCGCCGGAGGCGCCGCCAGGAGGGATCCAGCGCATATCCAGGAAATCCGCGGGGCCCTCCGAACGTTCAGAGTCACTAGCTTACCTGTTTGTCGAATGGCGTCGCAGGCATGATGCATTATTGTCCCGAGGGGCGCCAGGGCCTGCTGTCGCTGCTCGCCCTTCGCGCACGCGCTGTTTCCAGCGCTGTGAATTCTGACGCTGGACTCCAGCTTCGTCCCCCACTTCTCTCTGAGCGGCGCCAAAACCAACTGCTATTGTTCGCCCTTCTCGCACGCACTGATCCCAGCGCTGTAAGTGACGACGTCGGGTTCCAACTTCACCTCCCACATCTCGCTGAGCAGCGACACAGCCCGCTTCCACTGTTCGCTCTTCTCGCAGGTGCTGATCGCAGCATTGTAGGTGATGACGTCGGGCTCCAGCTTCGCCTCCCGCATCTCGCTGAGCAGCGCCAAAGCCCGATGCCACTGCTCGCCCTTCTCGCACGCGCTGATCCCAGCGCTGTAACTTACTAATGTGTACCCGTGGAGCCAATCCGCAGGTGCCCCGGGAGGGCAACGATGGCGGCGACGGCGACGGCGGCGGCGACGACGACGACGGCGGCAGCGACGACGAGGACGAGGACGAGGACGACGACGACGACGACGACGACGACGACGACGACGACGACGACAAGCGGCCGCGATAGCAAGGAGGCAGCGACAGCGGCGGCAACCCCGAAGAGGTGAGGGAGGGAGGTCCGGGGGCCGTTCCACCTGACTGACCTGCGTGCATCTCGGGTCCTGGTGCCGGGCTGCCGGAGCTGTAGGCTGGGCTGGGCTGCGGGCCGGGCTGCGGCTGCGGCTGCGCTGCTGGCCCGCTGTCCAGCGCGATGGCCACCAAATCGGGCCAAGCGGGGCCCTTCCTAAAACGCCCGCTCACCCCTTTCGAGCCGCTTGTCTCTCGGAGGCGTTTCCCGCTTGGCTGGGCGAATAGCCCAGGGGAGAGCAATACTGACGACATACCAGACCACCCCAACCCAACCCTCAGACCCAAAATTCGGGTTGGGGGGGTACGAGTTCCATACGTGTTCTTTCAGTGTTCCCCGACGCTCCCCCCCCCCTCCCCTCCCATAACAGGAATGGAGCCCAAATTGGGGCCTTCTGGTTGGGTTGGGGTGCTTTGGTGGGTGGTGAAATACATCTATCCCGGGGCGCCGATGGTCAACAACTGCGCGAGGCTCCCGGGGGGATACATGTAACACCCGCCCCTGGGCTTTCCGCCCTTCTCGTCGCCGCCTCGGGCCTTGGGGCAATCTTGAGCCCTGTTGGGGTCGCTTGTAATTCACTCGGGCCCTGTCTGAAGCCGTTGCGGCTTGGAACCATAGTGCACTGAGAGATGGGACAGAACATAGAACACGTGAAATAACCATATGACTTTCAACAGTTGTCGTGCGCTTCGGCTATATGGAAGGGGCCTTGCGATCACATCAGGGAGTCCTCGGAGGGACACGGATTGAATTCGGGGACAAGTGAGCTACCACGGCTTTCCGAGATCGAATGAACACAAATGACGTGGGGCTCCAGCTTCGCCTCCCGCATCTCGCTGAGCAGCGCCAAAGCCCGCTGCCACCGTCCGCCCTTCTCGCACGCACTGATCCCAGAGCTGTAACTGATGACGTCGAGCTTGATTTCCGCCTCTTGCATCTCGCTGAACAGCGCCAGAGCCCGCTGCCACTGCCCGTCCTTCTCACACGCACTGGCTCCAGCGTTGTAGCTGATGACTAGGGCTGACCCGTGGAATACGTCCACTTGCTGGATGAAGAGGTGCTGCCCAAAGTGAGCCCAAATGGCGTCGAAGACCTGCCCTATCATGGTAGGGCAGGGCCGAGACCCGCGAAGAGACCCCATGAAGCCCCAAAGATGGCCCGAAATGAGCAACGATGGGAGCTGGAGATGGCCCAAAATGGGCCCCAAAGGCGTCGAAAACCTGCCCTTACATGATAGGGCAAGGCCGAGACCCGCCAGAAGACCAGATGAAGCCCCAAAAATGGCTCGAAATGATCGCCGATAGGAGCCGGAGCCAAAGTGGACCGAAACGGCGTCGAAAACCTGCCCTACATGACAGGGCAGGGCCGAGACCCGCCAAGAGACCGCTGGGGCCTGTTCCAAAAACCTCCCGAAGCTATGAACCCCACCGAGGCGCGGTGGAGCGAAACACGGCCTGGCCCCAAGAGGCCGCGGAGAGGGCTCCAGACCGACAAAAAGGGCAAGGGATTTTGGGCCAAATCCTGCAGGGAGAGCGCCAAACAAGCATGAGAGCCCCATGGTGCGCTGGGAGCCGTTTTGGGACCGTCTGTGGCCATCTTAGGCCGTCTTTGGCTGCTATTGCTTCTGTCTTCCGTGCTTCTTGGGCCGTGATCTTGGGACCTCTGGGAGTCCTTTAGGGACCTCAAAACGCTTCCTGGAGCCCTCTTGGGCTGTCTCGGCCGCCCTTTGGGCCGTGTGGAGGCGGTCTGGGGCCGTCTGGGGGTTGTCTGGGGGTTGTCTGGGGCCGCCTTGGGCGTCTCTGGAGCAGTCTGGGCACCGTCTGGGGGTCGTCTATGGCCGTCCTGGGCTGCTCTTGAGGCTGTCTCGGGTTCCCCGTGGGCCTCCAGGGGCGCATCAGGAGTCTTCCTGGGGCCATCTTGGGACCCTGTATGGCCGTCTTGGACGCTATAAAGAGGGCAAGCCCGAGAACTGCCGAAACGTACGTTTTCCCGAAGGAATGTGACGATTTCTCGGTGTTCGGGTTCTCTTGGGGGTCGTCATGGAGCCCACTTGGAGCGTTTTGGGTGCCTCTTCGGCCATCTGGAGGCCATCTGAACCTTGGCGGCGCCTTCTGGGGGTTGCCTGGGGCCGCCTTGGGCGTCTCTGGAACAGTCTGGGCACCGTCTGGAGCTCGTCTTGGGCCGTCCTGGGCCGCTCCCGAGGCTGTCTCGGGTACCCCGTGGGCCGCCAGGGGCGCCTCAGGAGCCGTCCGGGAGCTATCTTGGGACCCTGTATGGCCGTCTTGCACGCTATGAAGAGGGCAAGCCCGTGAACTGCCAAAATGCACGCTTTCCTTGGGGAATGGGGCGAATTTTCGGAATTCGGGTTCTCTTGGGGCTCGTCGTGGAGCCCACTTGGAGCGTTTTGGAAGCCTCTTGGGCAGTCTGGAAGCTGTCTGAGGCTTTGTCGGGGCCATTTGGAGCTTGCCTGGGGCTGCCGTGGGCGTCTCTGGAGCAGTCCGGGCACCGTCTGGGGGTCGTCTGGGGCCGCCCTGGGCCGCTCGTGGGGCCGCCTCGGGCCGTTTGAGGGCCCTCCTGGGGTGCTCTGGGGGCGTCTTGGGGCGACCCGGAAGGCCTGTCGAGCCGTCTTGGACGCGGTGAAGACGAAAAGAGCGAGCAGATCAAAAATGCACACTTCCGAAGAGAATGGGGGGCAATGTTTGCCTCTTGGGTCCCTCCTGGGGGTCCTCCTGGGCCGCCTTGGGGGCCTCCTGGCCTGCCTTGGAGGCCTCTGGGGCCGACCTGGGGCTCGGTTGGGTCCCTCTTGGTCTTTCCGGGCGCCCTCGTGGGCGTCTCTGAGCCGTCTCGGAGCGGCCCGGGGGCTCGCAGGGCGGCCTGGAGAGCCTGGCGGACTTTTCAAGACAGAGGACCTTCTGGCACGCAAAGATCGCTGCATTGTAGAATAGATGACGTCGGGGTCCAACTTCGCCTCCCACATCTCGTTGAGCAGCGACAGGGCATGCTGCCACCGCCCGCCCTTCTCGCACGCGCTGATCCCAGCGCTGTAGCTAATGACATTGGGATCCAAATTTGCCTCCAACATGCTGCTAAGCAGCGACAGAGCCCGCTGCCACTGACCACACTTCTCGCACGCGCTGATCCCAGCGCTGAAGATCATGACGTCGGGCTCCATCCTCGCCTCCAGCATCTCGCTGAGCAGCGCCAGAGCCCGCCGCCACCGTCCGCCCTTCTCGCACGCGCTGATCCCAGCGCTGTAACTGATGACGTCCGGCTCCAGCTTCGCATCCAGCATCCCGCTGAACAGCACCAGAGCCCGCTGCCACTGCCCGCTCTTCCTACACGCGCTGATCCCAGCGTTGTAGCTGATGACGTCGGGCTCCAGCACGGCCTCCCGCACCTCGCCGAGAAGCGACAGAGCCTGCTGCCACTGCCCTCCCTTCTCGCACGCGCTGATCCCAGCGCTGTAGCTGACGGAAGTGTAGAACGGACTAGGGTGGACCCGCGGATGTCATCTACGGCAGTCGGCCTGATCCGATCAGAAGTTCACGGCGGCAACAGCAGCCTACTCGCATGCAAAGACTCAGACCGCTCTCCTGTTCGACTGCGTGCCTGCACGTCTGCTTGCGAGCTTGCTGCCCCTAAGGGCCTGACGCCTGCGTCGTCTGTTTCGTGCTTTTTTGTTTGCTCGGCCGATCGCTGATTACTGCCAGGAGGAGGAGGAGGAGGAGGAGGAGGAGGAGGAGGAGGAGGAGGAGGAGGAGGAGGAGGAGGCTTGCTGCTGGCTGGTGCTGGTTGCTGCAAACTTATTGCTGCTGTTCGCTGCTGATTGCTGAGTTTGCCGTGCCTGGCTGGTGTTTGCCAGTGCGCGCTGCTGCTCACTGGCGGCTCGGTGAGGCTGCATGCCGCTGCTGCGTGCGGCTGCATGCCGCTGCTGCGTGCAGCTGCTGTTGCTTGCCGCAGCGGGTTGGTTGTTGACGCTGCGCGGTGCAGGTGCCTGCTGTTGCTGGTTGAGGCTTGCGATGCAGCATGCTGCTCGTGATCGCTGGTCCTGCCTGCTTGCTGCTCGTGCTCAGTGCCAGTCGTCAGCGCCTCCGATGCCGGACAATCTGGCAGCTCAGGGTGGAGGGACGAGTAGGAATCTAGGGGAGCCACCCTGGGGCCATGCGATTGCCATGTCGGAGCCCTCCTGAAGCATGTTGGGGCTGTGATGGGTCTTCCTTGAGCTCCTGCGAGGCCTCTCCGGACCATCTTCGGATTCCTGGAGGTCCCGCGGGGTACGTCTGTGAGGTCTGGGGTTCGTCTGGAGGGACATCGGGGCAATATTTGAGCGATCTTGGTCCGTGTTCGGATTGCTCTGGGACTATTGAAGGCCAGCCAGGGCCAACTTGGGCTGTCTCGGGGGCCCTTGTTGGCCTCTCACGCCTTCGTGGCCACTGGGGCCTTTCTTGGAGCCAGAAGTGGCAGCCCCGCGCCGAGGCAGCTTCACTTGGCAGCCCGCGCCGAGGCATCTTGGAATACCTCAGGGCCACAACGACGCAACAGTTGGGCATTTTGTGGCAACTTGGGCCGTTTTGGGGGGAGCCTTTGTTGGCGGTCCCGTCAGGCTCTCTTGGGCCGCACGGGGCTCTCAGTGGGCTCACGGGAGCCGTCTGGACGCTTCTCGCGGGGGGGGGCGTGCGGGGGCTTGCCTGGCCAATGTCTATTCCCTTGACTTTATGGCACGGACTGCGCCCGGCCTGGCATATTGACTTTATGATAGATGACGTTGGGCTCCGCCATCGACTCCCGCATATCACTGAGCAGCGACAGTGCCCATTGCCATTGCCCGCCTTTCCTGCATGCGCTGACAGCCGCAATATAATGGCCTGGAGAGAGTTCCACACCTGATTGAATTCTCTCGTGAAGCAACTGCAGGACTGCGCTCCATTGCCCTGTCGCAGCACGCTTCTTGATTGACGCTTCGAAGGGAACAGCACCGTCTCGAGACCCTTGCGAGAAGTTGTCTAACATCAAAAAATATGGCGACGCAGCGGCTCGAGCCAAACATGCATAAACCGCAATAGTTCCGGGGCAAAGAACAATTGGGGAAGCGATCGCTGAGGGGGCAGAAGATGAGGGGGGGAACGAGGGACAATGGCTGGAATGCCAGAAGGAGCAGGAATAAGAGCGAGCATGAAGGGGAGGGGGCGGACACAGAGAGGATGGCAGCGCTGTCTCCCGCTCATTATCCTGCCCCCTCCTCGTCCTTCCTTTTTCACCATCACCACAAACACCATCATCAACACCATCATCGTCGTCACCATCACCATCATCATCACCATCGCCATCGTAATCGTCATCGCCATCGTCATCGCTATCGTGATCGTCAAAATCATCGTCGTACTCGCCGTCATCGTCAACATCATTCCAATGTCCGCCGTCGTCAACACCATCATCGGACATCGCTGTCATCGTAGTCGCCATCTGCACCGGCGTCGTCATCATTAACATCAGAATCATCTATGCCGCCACCGTCATCACTGTCATCATCATCATCATCGTCATCATCGTCGTCAACATCCTCATGGTCGTCGTCATCGCCGTTGTGAACATCATCGTCGTCGTCGTGATGAGCATCGCCATCATCAGCATCATCCACAGCAACATCGTCGTCGTGATCGTCGTCGTCAGCGTGGTCGTCGTCGTCGTGGCTAACGGCATCGTCATCATCATCATCATCATCATCATCATCATCATCATCATCATCATCATCATCAACGCCATTATCATCATCGTCGTCTTCGTCGTCCTCAAAAACGTCGCCGTCATTGTCGCCACCACCCTCATCGACATGATTTGTTACCAGGGTCGCCGTCACCATCGTCATGGCCACTGGCACCATCGTCATCAGCACAATCATCATAATTATGACCATCTCCGTCATCAGCAGCATCAATATCGTCACCATCCCCATGACCATCGTCATCAGCATCGTAGTCGTCATCCTCATCGTCATCACTATCGTCATCGTCAGCAGCATAGCCGTCATCGTCGTCATCGTCAACATCATTCCAATGTCCGCCGTCGTCAACACCATCATCGTCATCATCATTTTCATCGTCGTTATCGTTGACATCGCTGTCATCGTAGTCGCCATCTGCACCGGCGTCGTCATCATTAACATCATAATCATCTATGCCGCCACCGTCGCCACTGACATCATCATCATCATCATCATCATCATCATCATCATCATCATCATCATCATCATCATCATCATCATTATCATCAGCATCATCATCGTCGTCAACATCCTCATGGTCGTCATCGTCGCCGTTGTGAACATCATCATCGTCGTCGTCGTGATCGGCATCACCATCATCAACAGGATCCACAGCATCGAAACAGCCTCGCAAGAGCGGTGGCAAGCCGCTCGAGTCGCGAGGAGCACGTGCAGCGCCGAGAGGGCGGCCTCGCAAACGTCACCGATAAACTGCAATCTGGCGCACCTCAGGTGCGCCTCGTGAAACCACGCGGTGCCCATCATAGCCACCAAGATGCGTGCCCTGATCTCGTCGTGCACCGCGAGGTTCGCCGCGGTGACGGGGCCCTGCAAGCGCGCGCCCCGACCCGCCGTGCCTGCCAGCTCCTCCGAGTTGGATACCTTTCCTCGTAGCCGTCGTCGCCCCATGCACTCGCAGACCGAACGCGCGCGCCATCTTGATTTCATTGAGTCCCCCACCTTGGGCCCTAGCAGCTTTGTTCGCCGTCTCCGTCGCCCTGCTGAGCCTGGCGGCGATGTCCCTGCCAGCCGCGCCGCTGGGAGCCGGCGCGGGCCCGGCGATGTCGCGCGCGAAAGACGCCGCCCCCAGGCCGAAGATCTCGCCGCCTCGATCGGGGACCGTCGTCTCCAGCCGCCTGCAGCTGTCCTCCTGCTCCTTCAACTCCTCACACGCTTCGCCCACCGCCGCAGAAGACGTCGCGACGAAAGCCCCACGGCACGACGCCGCAGCCCATGCCTCCCACCCCATCGGACGGCGCGAACTCGATCGTGCCTTCGGGGGCCGTGACCGAGACGCTAAGGTCGCTAAGCAGCTGTGCGAAGCACGGCTTGTCCTCGCCCTGTAGTCGCCGACCTGCGCGCGCGCCACGCGCGCGCCAACGCCCCCATCCGATGGCGTTGAACGCCCCCGCTGCGTCCCAGTTCTGCCGCCCGGGTGCTGGAGTCGCAAAGCCGCCAGCATCCTGATTGCAGTGCGAATAGTGGTGCCTCTCGGATGTGAAGAGGCAGGCCCCCGTGAACCCACTCTGGCCACGCACCTGGAAGTTGCCGCCATCGCAGTCCGCTGCGCCAGGCCTGTGAAAGGTGATCGTACACTTGGATCACGCGCGGGCCCTTGAAGTCGCCCCTGCCCTTGCCACTGTCAAGGCCCACTGCCCGAGTGCGCTTCCCCGACGGCGCGAATTTCTTCTCGGCCCTCGACTCCCTCAGCAAGTCCCACAGGCAGTAGTCGAAGCTTTTCACTGGATCGGCTCCTGGCTCACGCACCCCATAGCCATGCTGGCGCTATCTATCTTCTCCGCGCATCATCTCCGCGCACGCACCCCAATCAGGAAACGCCATTCGTCGTGGAGCCCGCATGCAGTAGCGCTGCACCGCCATTAGGTCGTCGCGAATGTTGTCGTGCATCTCGCCATCGCGAATCGGGTCCCTCCACGTGCCTTGCTCTTGCAAATACCTCCCGCCCGCGCTGGCCTTCTCCAACTGCTGCTCCAACATGGTCTCGCATGCGTTCATCCCGCCTGGAATTCCTGACTTGGCCATCCCCTGCGGCCGTGTGCGTCCTTTCCTGCATACCTCGTCCCCGTCCAGCGAATCGCCCTCGTAGTGCGAAGTGGCGCACTCTCCATGCCTCCTGCTGCTCCTCAGTGTGCCCCAGGAACATCTGCGGCCGGTGTCTCTTGCGACGCTCCTCGCATTCTCCAGTGAACCTGCTCAGTCTGGCCTCCGCAATCTCGAGCCGAAGCTGCTCGCCATCGAGTCCTGCGTGGCGGTCGTAGCCTCTCCGTTACCGTGGTAGCTGTGGCTATCCACGCCACGTCTCAGCAAATCGCAATGCGACTGAACCTGAGACTGCGTGCCTTTTCGCCAGGGAATGGCACGGGGTTTGCGTTCTGACTGGAAGCACCCACCTGCAATGCGCCCACCGCCCTGGCGCCAGCACCACGCGAACGACTGAGCCCGTGGCAGCGTCCCTCCCTCGAGGGGCTAGCACGGGACTTGTACCCGTTCCTCGATGTAGTTCCCCTTGCTCAGCTGCCGTTTGTGTTCTTTCCTCCTGGGCTCGCACTTTTTCGTCGCGTAGGTCATCGCTCTCATGTCCGAGCTGCAAGTTTGGTGGGGAGATCTCCTGAACCGCTGCCCTGATGGTCGCCGTCAACTCCTGATGCTTGCTCTCAGGTGCCAGGTCCAGGTCAGCCTCGTGACACTCGTCTGCAATGCTCTTGAGGTTCGGCTCCACCATGGTGCAGACCTCGCGTCGTCGCACACCCTTTGTCAAGCATCTCGTCGGCGTGTCTCTGTCGATCCTCGCTGTGGGTCCAGCTGTCCCTCGGCAGCGCATGCGGCACGCGATACAGAACTCCATGGGGCAGTGGTCCCTGATCTCTGCACTCGGTCTCTGCACGCGTCATGGCAACGTGTCTCTCTTCGTACGTCCCAAAAAAAGGGGAAGGCACTCTCCGAAGATCATCGGGGAAGGTGCTGGCCGTCGGCATCTTCAGGCCTCCTAATGCGTCGGTGACACCCAGCGACGGTGAAGGAGTGTATACCTGGCGTATAGTATTATTAACAACTTTTCGGCCCACCATCATTGTGATCCCGCAGCCCTTGTTCGTGAACCCCGCGCCGCCAGCCCCAGTTGACCGTCACATGGCTGCTGGTGCGGATCGCGGTGACTGCAATCTCTGGGTCCGCGCGCTGCTGGGTCCCACGCAGTGAAATCAAATCGAAGCTCTTCATCGCCTCCGACATCAGCCCCGCCCGCCATGGCGGCAAGCTCAGAAGGTTATAGAGGCCCGCACTGAGCATCCACAGCACGAGCATGCTACCCCGAGCCTGAGGCAGCTCATGAGGCACAGGCAGCAGCGGCGGCGGCGGTCCCCATCCCGCAGCCGTCCCGCTCCTCTGGCCTCGACCGTCGATCAGGCCGCTGGAGCCTGCTCTGGTCGCCAGAATCCTCCCTGATTGCGATTTAGTGGCGACGTTCCCTCTCCTCCTCCTCCTCCTCCTCCTCCTCCTCCTCCTCCTCCTCCTCCTCTTCCTCCTCCTCCTCCTCCTCCCCCTTTCCTCCTCCTCCTCCCACGGTCCTCCTCCTCCTCCTCCTCCTCCTCCCCGTTTCCTCCTCCTCCTCCTCCTATGGTGGTGAGTATCGTTGGGTCTCTGGGCTTCCGCCGTGATCCTGGTACGACGCGGGGATGTCGGGCGGCGGCGGCAGGCGGTGGCGGCGGCCGCCAGCTGCGGCCCCTCCTCCGTCCTCCCCCTGAGATCCGACGTTGCGGAGGAACTCGGGGGCGGCCAAGAGGGGACGTCCAGGAAGGGGGGCGCAAAGCATGGCCGCCGGCACGTGCGCGGCTCAGGGGGGGGGGACCAGGGAAGTAATGACATAAGGAACAACGCAAGGACATCTGAGGGAATATCATGGCCCGCGCCATGAATTCCCCCCCCCCCCCAGTCATCACCCACCTCTTTTCCGCTCCCGAGTTTGGGGGCCCCCGACGGAAGGCGGCGGGCCCGCCCGCGGCGGGCGGCCTGGGTCCTGCCCGGGCTCCAGCGGCGGCAGCGCCAGCAGCGGGGCCATCTGGCGCGCCGCCTGGTTCCCCGTTCCGCGCCGGCGCCCCTCCCCCTCCCCCTCCCCCTCCTCCTCCCCCTCCTCCTCCTCCCCCTTTTCCTCATCCTCCATCCCTTCTCATGATTGATAGCTTGCCCTTGTTGCCCTGATTGCTGCTGGGACGTTTGGCCAGGGGCCGAACGTCCCAGCATTCCTGCAGGCCGACCACGATTTACTGTTAGCAAGAGAGGGTTTTTCGAAACACAAACAACAGTGCCCTTGGAACCACAAGCCGAGGTATGAAGAAAAGCAGCATCCGCCAGAGATGTTCTGAGAACTCTTCGTGCAAGGCACAAACAGTGACCAGAACATTCTTCGGTGGACCTACAGGCAGGTCAGGACGCTTCGCCACTGCTTGACTGATGAGCATCGTTTAACCGATCCTTATCCCCACGGGCGCTGCCTGGGCCCCAATGGCCGGTGTATCCCTCCAGATGGGGATGCATAAGCTGTTCCCTTCGAGCTTTGATGGGGTCACATAACCGGGGTGGTGGGGTGGTTGGAATTGTGATGGGGATAGAGACGGGGATACGGATCGCTTAAGCGATACTGACCTGTGGCCCCGCCCTGACGGCGAGCTCAGCGGGGTCGACGGTAGTCGAGGATCGAAGATCCACGGGGGTCGTACAGAGATCGGCTGCCCCGTCGGAGGAATCGAGGGTCGAGGAGGGAGGAGAGCAGCTGCGAGATCAGATACTTGTTGGAGGCGAGATCAGGCAGGAAGTCAGAGAGGGGGGGCCTTCCCAGAAGGCTCGGAAGACCTCCGGCCTTCCGAGACGCTGTTTACACTTAGCCTTCTCCGGAGATGCAGAGGGCTCCTCGAAGGCCTGACCCCTCTCACCCTCTGGGCCCGCAGCCGACAATCGGAGGGGGTCGAGAGATCGGGGATTGGCGGGCACCCATTTCCTCTCGGTGTGAAAGTACCCCAGCAAAACTGCCAGATTCACAGCTGATAAAAATGGGGGTCTCCTTGGGCGTGAATTTCCGGGGGACGATACATGGGGGGGGAGATGCCCTTTTCGGGCCCTGCAGGCCCCTGTAGAAGTCCTAAGCGGCCCCTTTTCGGCAGCCCTGGCCGCCCCCAAACTCATCGCCCCCCCACTACGCGCCCTCCAATCTCCACCATGCAGGGACTTACTGTCCACACACGAGGGGAGGCGGACAACGAAGAAGATGATCCAAGAGGTTCTTCGCAGGATGGTCCAGGAAGCTCCCCGGGCAAACGGGGAAACAAGTATGCACCACACCGCCCCGACGTCGTCCCCGATCCTCGAAAAAAGTCCTGGGATTGAGAAACCGCCCGCCACCAGTAATGTCTATCTGCTCCAGCTTCCGACCAGGAGGTTCCTCGCAGCGTGAGCCCGGAAGCTCCCGAGGATGAGCCCAGACCTCCTGGCGCTGGCCTCGCCGCGAAGCACGGGCACCTCCGAGCGACGCCGAGGGGGGGGGGAGGCTGGCAGGCTGGACTGGAGATAGAGGCTCGATGGGCATCGAGGGTCGCCTGGCGTCGACGGGAGGCAACGCAGATGCAGGCTGCCCCGTCGGAGGGATCGAGGATCGAGGAGGGAGGATACGGTCGGGAACTGTTGCTCAGCGCGTCGCGGCGGGGCGGCCCCAGGGGCGACGCGCCATGCCCTGCGAGGTGATAATAGCGTGTCGCACCCCTGCGCGGGACGGGAGGCTCGAAAAGGCTCGGGGCGTTGACGCTTGGGGACCGCGAGGTCCTGGATAACGTGTCGCGCCGAAGCGAGGTGGGCCAGAACCGTCGGAGCGACACGCGAGCCAAAGGTTCCCGACCAGAGCAGCTACGAGACCTAGATCATTGTATCCCCAGGCATCCGACGTCTCGGTTGTTTCGAGACACGGGCCCCGACCTTCCCACCACTTCCACAGAACCGCTGCTTCACCCGCGAGGCCGGAAAGTATGAGAAACCTTCGTCTCGATGCTTTCGAGACGCCAGGCGTCTGGGCCCGACTCGGCTGGCGACCGCGGAGTTGTGCCCACACGGAGGGGGGGGGTCAGAACTGCCGACGCGCGAGGAGGAGTAGGGGGTCGACGGGGATCGGCGGGCGTCGAGGGTCCGACGGGGATCGGCGGCGGACAGGGAGTGCCCTGTGGTGCGCAGCCTGCTGCTCGCTGCGCGCCATGCCCAGCAGCAGCGGTCCGCTTCTGCCGGGGTCTGCCCCGCGCGCCAAGGAGGTCACTCCGTTGGAGAGCGAACTCTTTTGCGGATGGAGGAGGGAGGAGCGGCAGGGATCGGCGGCGATCGACCAGGATCGAGGTTCGACGGCGGGGGCTCGGGGACCAGGGGTCGACAAGGATCGACGGGGATCGACGACGGCCCGATGTTCACCATCCCGACGATGCGGTTCAATATTCCGACCCCATGTGGCCCCTTCCGGAAACACTGAACCCCCAGCGGCTGACATCCCCTGGGGGCCGGCTTATGCTTCCGGCGGCAGCGGCGTCCCCGTTCTACGTCCGCAAGGCACGAGACGCCAGCTTCCCGAACCCCTCGGGGGCCAGCCCTTCCTGGAGCACGCCATGTGCTTTGGCAGTACTTCCACGTTCTCCACCGTGCTCTGCGGTGGCACACCAGGCTCCCCACTCGCCGACCGAGCGGCCGCAGGTGGGGCCAGGCCGAACCTTGTGCGTGCAGGCAGGTCCCCGCCGCCCTCAGCACACCGCGCCAGCGCGCGCGCGCGCCTGGTCAGCGCGCCCACCTGGTCAGCAGAGAATGCCGCGAGTGAAGCCGCGGTCGGCGTGCCGTGCCTGTACACCGCGCGTCTCGTGCCTCCCAACCCCCGCCGACTTCTCCGACACCCGCCCCTCCTTCTGGACAACCTGCCCCCCCTCTTGCGACAGTCGTGTCCGTGAGCAGGCCAGGCGCTTCGCCCGACACCTCCTCGCGAGTCAAGGCCACGACGCCCCGAATATCCAGCAACTGCGCGGGTGGAGGTTCAGCAAGGAACGATCGCCTCAGCGTAGGCTCCTACGTGTTAGGGTAGTTCCGCGTCTGCACGAACTGAAAGCGGGTGGGTTTCAAAATGTGGCGCGCACCGCGTTGCCGCACACATTCGTCCTAACAGGTATTTGACCTTCACGAGTGGCTTTCTAAGTGGGGTTCCCGCCTCAATGCTGGGCAGAACCGCCTCACGACCAACAGTTGCTAGGCCGGCAGCTGGGTGATTCTAAACATTTGTTCGCCGCAGCGCTGCAAAACTTCGTCTGGGCATCTCCGAGCAATCAGAACATGTGGCTCATGTTGGACACTTTACTTTGTAACCTTGCATTGCCGAACGCTGGCGGTTTCGCAACAACTGCGCGCATGGACGGCGGCTCCTTTTAAACAATGCGGCTCTCGATCGGCGCATCCTGATCCGTGTGCAGCGGCTACAGAATTACACGGATGGCGAGTGGCTGCGAATTCAAAGCGCTCTCTCGACTGACCTGGCCCGTGCGCTGACTCGGACAGCACCCCGCGGCACTTTTCATGCATAGAGTCAAACATACCTTTGCACACTCTACACTTATGCGCCCGCTCCGCGCGCGCTGTTCCAAGATTGCACCGTCCGCGCGGGCAAGCGACTTTTTTTTTGAGTCGTTGCCCCCTGGACCTTTGAGGCACTGAGCGGGGTTGGGCGAGGGGGGCGTCCTTCAAAGAAGACATGGGGTCAGGAGGCACCAGAAGCTTCTGAGAAGCCCCACGCCTGATCAGAAAACCACATCGCGCCATCTTTTTCTGCACGCGTGTCTCAATCGGAGAGAACGCGTTTCACGGGCGCTTGTTTTGGGAACATTCGGCGGCGCGTTTCGAACCGGGGGACGGGCCCCCCCCCCAACACTCGGCGCCGCCGATCAAAACCAGTGGGACCCCCCTCCCCCCCAAACCCCCCCCTCCCGAACCTTTCCCCCCCCCCTCCCAAGGTGGAGGGGGGGTTCAAACCCCCCGCCCCGCCGGCGCCAGCGGCCGCCAGCAGCGCCGACAGCGGGGACGCAGCGACGATTACAAGAGGCGGCCCACGGGGGGGGGGGTTCAAATCCCCCCCCGGCGCCGAAGGGAGGAGGGAGGGTTCAAACCCCCCCCCAGCCCTGGCGCCAGCGCCAGCGCTGGGGCCGGCGACGGCGGGGACGCAGCGACGATAACCACCACCACCACCACCACCACTGCCACCACCACCACCACCTCAACCCACCACCACCACCACCAACCCACCACACAGCCACCACCACCACCACAACCACCACCACCACCACAATCACCACCACCACCGCAACCACCACCACAACAACTCACCATCACCACCAACACCACAAAAACCCACCAGCACTACAACCACCACCACCCCCACAATCCACCACGCCACCGCCACCACCGCCACAACCACCACCACTACCAGCAGCACAACCCACCACCACCAAAAACCAACACAACACCACCACCACCACCACCACCACCACCACCACCACCACCACAAAGCACCACCACACCACCAAACCACCACCACCACCACAACCCAACCACTACCACCACCACAAACCACCACCACATCACCACCACACCGCCACCACACCACCACCACCACCACCACCACCACCACCACCACCACCACCACCACACCACCACCAACAACAACAAACCACCACATCACCACCACCACAACCACCACCACCGCCACCACCACCACCGCCACCACCACCAACACAACCCACCACCACCACCACCACCACCGTCGTCCTCGTCGACGCTCCCCGCCGCCGCCGCCCGCCGCCGCAGGCGCGGGCGCGGGCCCAGAAAAGGAAATCGTCGTCCCCGCCGCGGCCGCCGCCAGCCGAGGAGAGGGGGAGAGGACAAGTAGGGGAGGGAGGGGGAATGGGTTCGAACCCCCCCACCCCCCTCCGTCACGGGAGGGGGGGGGTCTAGTTCCACCCCCCCCCCTCCAAGCGACCACAGAACGCGCTCTTTCCT